TCCACGGAAGTGCCAAATTTGACTAGAAGTCAATTGCCAATACAACTGGATTACAGCCTCATACGCTGTTGATTTCTCAGTCCCTTCACCCCTACTCCCCCAGAATTGTTTGTCCTCATTCACTACATCACGTTTCCATGAAGAATTCAAGCTCTGTCAAGCAGCGATAGTCTCCTCCAGAGTATCTGTGCTGTGCTTAGGGACAGGGTTTAGTGGTGGGATGGCAGTGTTGGGTTAACGGTTGGACTTGATCTTAAAAGGCTTTTCCAACCTAAACCATTCTATGATTCTATGCTTAGAACAACACAAGCAATCTGAGCCCTGCTGCAAGACCAAAAAAAAGGACGTGTTCAGGAGTCAAAGCTCTTTTGTTTGTTCACTGACATGCTCACGAAAACAGAAAGCAGGGAAGAAAGCAAAGCTGCCAGTAGCGTCAGGCTGGGAGCAATCTCAGTTTCACAAGCTGGTATGAAGCTCAAGAGATATTAAGAATTGATTCCACATAAAGAAAGAGGTCAGGCAGCCTAAAGCCAAGTCCAGAAGCACCTGAAGAGGAGGTGGGAGATTACTGCTGCTCAGCATATTCTAACACTGCAAATACTGCATTTGCAGTATAGAGAGCAAAAGGGCAGCCTTCCCAAATAGGGTCTCGGATGCTTTTAGAAGAATGCCACCAAAATTTTCTGCATCGTTGCAAGATCAAAGACAGCAGAATTTTCATCAGATGATTTACATTTGCATTTCTGCTACTCAGAGGAAGCTGTTGTTCACAAGACAACAGCCAAAAACCGCAAACAGCTACAACAGCCCCTGGATCTTCTGCAAGCTGCGGGAGAGGGGATGGCTGTTAGAAGGTTTTGCTACTTTTAATGTTTTACACCTATACTGTACATAGCTACAGGTAACTTTGGCAAGTTCAGTGCCCCCATTTGGACCCAAGACGGGGAGCTCTAAGGTTCTTACTCCACTTTGAGTGGAATTAGTCTCATCATTATCTTTGTCCAACCAAAGCAGTAACTGCTATATGCAAAAAAATGAAGTTTTAGTTTCAGCCTGGTTTTCTACTTATTAGTGAAACTACTGTTCTACACAGTGCAAAGCTAGGGATTACTAGCCTTAAGTATCTGTAATTTTAACATCATGTGAAGTTTTTTTAAAGCAATGATAAATCTGATTGGAAAGAATAACGTCTGTTTTGGAAGGAATGGGGAATGGATATGAAATAGGATGAAGAGGACAAAAATCAGAAGGCACAGTTTCTAAGAAAAAGGACATCTACAAACTGTCTATGACCCTGAGTTTTATTGTGGGGCTGAAGGCACACAAGCTACGAGAACAACTGCGTTCAGGCTTGCACAGGGGTGCTCTCTGCCTCACCTACCCACCTTGCCTTTGTGCGTTTCTTGAAGCCACTGGCGAAGGCGGATCAAACAACTCTCTTGCATTGGAGTCAGCTGGCCCAGATATCGCTCAATGTAATCAGCGTCCAATTTGTCAGCTGGAAATAAAAAGAAAAAACAATTCAGAGGAGACTTGGCATAGCCAGAAAGGAGATGTGCAGTTATTTCTACACATCAGGTTACTTATGATTTACACTGGAAGAGTGCAGAAGCCCTCATTTTAGCTGCCTGGGGGAAGTGAGTGAGTGATATTCTCATGGTGATTAGGGCATGAGGACACAGACAGAATGTAAGATATCAAAGCTAGATCATTCTGCCTGTCTCTTAGAACAGTAATATTTCATTCAACTCTGAACTGCTCCAGCAGGAGCTTTAAAAAAAAAAAACAAACAAACCAAACAACCCACCCCAAAAAACCACAACAGGAGCTCTGGCACTCATCTCATTACCTGCTCCAAGACCTGGCCACTTAAATCCCCTGGTGTCCTAAAGATCTCGCGCACAGTTCCAATGACAAGAGGCTAAAAAGCAGATAGCTGAAAACTGAAACATTATCTGCTCGCAGACACCAGAGGGAAAGGGAGAACACCACCACCATTTCTGATGGCAAGGGAGATTTTTGGCACGAGAAGTCCTGTGCATACCCATGGTTCAAGGTCCCTCCGGATCGGAGACAAAGGACAAGGGGTTGGAGCCTGCCAGCATTCAGAGACAGAAGCAGATGTGCCATCTGAGGCTTGTATGGGCATACGCCAGCACAGAGAACGTGGTACCCAAAGGGGAGCAGCACAGGCCAGTAGCTGTGCTGGAGGCACGCAGGCACACGAGGAGGGCGGCTGGGAGGAGGACCTCTGAGCTAGCTCTTCATCAGGCAGGATTTTTTTTTTTTTCAGCAGATACCATTAACTACAGAATAAGGCCTGTACACCCACAGGATACGCTGTTGCTGACTGATAATACAGAAATTATATTTGATAAGCGCTACGCCCCCACCAAATCCACAGAGCTAGCAAGCTGGGGAGCAGTCCCAGGGAAGCTCATCACTTCCTAAGCACGAATGGAAGCAGAAAAATAAGAGCCACTCTGCTCTCCCGCTAGATGGGATCTGCCACTCTTAGGTTAACTTTAATCTCAAAGCACATGAACATTTCTTATAGTCAGCTCCTCTGTGGATTTCAATCCTTTTTCCAGATGGATTCCAACACAGAGAAGCTACTAGAGAAGGTCTGGAGAGACAAGAACCATTGATAGTTCCGAATTCCAAGCTCTTTCCATAGTTACACTGAGCAAAACAAGTTCTGTCTTTCCTTCGGAGGAATGGCAACTCCCACTTTTAATACCACAGCTCTAAATTAAAAGGCCCCTCCTATTTCTTTTTGTCAGAAGAGAATTTTATTTAGTCTAGAAGATATCATCAGATCAACACACAGAAAGATAAATTCCAATTCAGGCATTTTGTGTGAAAAATGCATCAGGCAACATTCTGCAAGTTTGCCTTAGTTTGATATAGGGGCAAAACCCATTCAAACCAACCCCCAAGAACATTAATTTTGAAACAGCCAAAATACTTCATTATAATGCAATTATAGTGCACTCAAGATAAGTTGGAGAAACATCAGTGTAAGATGTAAAATACCTTAAAGGTCAGATCAAACCCAAGGTTTTTCTAAGCTCAAACAAAAACATACTGCCTGCTCAGTTTCAGCTTTTCAGTTTTGGGGAAAAAAAGTTCTGGTGTTTGTGTTTGTTTTTCTTGAAGAAAGAAAATAACTTTCCCTCCTCTCCGCCCACCATCCAGAAGAAAAACCTCATGCCAAAAAAATAAAAATAAACTCATTAGTCAGTGCTACTCAAGGCACTTGGATTGCCAGCAGCTGCTGCTGCCTGGACAGTGCATACCATCAGGGCTGACAGCCTCTGCTGGAGGGCAGGAGCTGCCAGTTTGCTCTTTGGCAGTTCCGCGAGCCCCCGACTCAGGTGGTACGTCATCAGCATCATGTCCAACAGCCGGGGTTCGCTCATCCTTCTGTCCGCACGCTGCGGGGGGTGTCCAGCGGGGGATGAATGTGATCCCTTGGGAGATCAACTCCTTCAGATAGTGCTCAATCACTTCCTTGCCCTGGAGGAGAAAACTCTCATTAGGGAAAAAAACAGTCCCATCTCCCCCAAACCAGCAAGGTGCAGACGAGTTTTCCTCAGGACAGATGACTAATGTTGTTTGGGATAAACAGAAGGGAAACAGTTGTCTCCTTCCATCTGCATGACCCTGTTAGAAAAAATTCAGTATTAAAGCAACATACAGATGGTGATTTACAACACTGGCCAGGCAAATTCCAATGCTACGGATGCAGCTACTTTTATAAGACTTTTATCCCATTCTCAAGCTCCCAAACCATCAGTTAGCTGCCCTGTTCCTCTGCAGCCCAGAGGAAAAGGCGTCCAAAAGGAAGCGCCTCTGCCCAAGCTCCTGGAGAGACAGGGTGCTGATTTTTACCCAGAACTTTATCTTCCTGCATGAGAACAGTGTCCTCAGTGTCTGAGGAGCCTGGCACCCACAGCATCCACTGCAATCCTCTGGTACAGCCTGCTCCCTCCCCTGCACAGACACATTCCAGCAAGCAGATTGTTTTTGCTCATTGCACACTGGCTTTTTCTTCGTCTGCCCTGCTGAGGGATTTCAGAGACATATGCGAGTGCATGAAACTACAGTGGGTCTATTTTACAGAAAAGAAAAGAGGCGCACACTGAGAGCAGGCGTTTGATTTTGGTTTTAGGGCACAAAGGGAAGCCCATCTTACCCGCTTGATGTTTGAAGTATACTGCTTCATGGCAATTTTTTCCACTGTGCTTTCAAAGCCAAAAAATGACTTGATGTCGAGAGATGCAGACTGTTCAAAGCAAGTCCACTCTTCATTCTCAGGGTGAACCTAAGCCCAAAGACACACATATCGTTGGACGGTGGCAGATAGTTCATGTGATGGCAGGGAACCTACCCTGGTACTAAACTGGGTATTTAGTCTCCAGAGCTACAAAGTGAGGGGACAGAAGAGGCTTTCTATGAGGCTTTGACAGACCCACATTTAACAGTCGGTTTAATTATCCCAGAGTAATAGAAACCCATCGTGAACTGGACACACGGACGTTTGTGGTTAACCCAGCATTCTTCACATGCACAAGGAAATCAAGATTAAAACCCACCTCTGCCCAAGCAGACCCGTACAGTAATATTTTTAGCAGAAGTTGTATTAAAATAGTAGTGCAACTGCCCACTTGAAACCACCATGTCAAGATCTCCTTACGGAAAGACAGGGATGGCCTCTCAGAACAGGCAATTAAAAACACCTACACCTGCAAAGGTAGAAAAATTCAAACCAGTTTTTTTTCCCCCCTAGAGTTTTGGATAGGAAACTCAGCCACTAATGTCAGTCTTCCCAACAAAACACAGGAGACATGGTAGACAGGGGTATTCTCCCACTGTCAGTTCAATATCCACCTTTCCTTTCTAGCCACTCAGTTATCCTATATATGGTAAAAACCTACATAATCTTTTCCTCTTTTAAACTTACCCCTTTTTTGAGAGGGCTCTGACTTCTTCTCTGCAGGTGCTGCCGCTCACTAACTGACATGAAAGAAAAAAATTCCAGCCCCCACACAAAGATATGAGCTCTATAAAGGACAAATATTCCCCCAGGGGAGATATTAAGTAACTGCAAGAGCAGGATCATATTTCTCCAAGTTGCTTCAGAGAACACCGCAGAAAAGGAAATATGAGAATAAACCTGTTTCCGGTGCACTCTGGCAGGGAAAAGGGAACTGGTAAAAATAGAGCAGAGAACCATCTTGAGGATGCAGACAGCTAGCTCCCGCCCCGTTCCAGGAAAAGCGTTCCCCTCAAAGCCCAGCTGCTGACGTTTCCTTCCGAAGGACATGAGCCGGAGGCAACACAGCCAAAATCAAGTCCAACAATGTCTGAGCGATTCCAGAGTTGACCTGGGAGCGTTTCAGATCTGTCAGCGCCTTTCACAATTATGGAAGTTTGATTTACTGTGGTTTTTAGGAAGCCCCATGTAGCCATCAAGTGGCACCTCCGGCTCAGGAAACCCTCCCAGCATCCAAAATGTTAATAGCTTTTCACCTCTTTGTCTTGCTTGAAACAGAAGCCACTTACAGGTTGCTTACTCCCAAGAAGCTGAGCTGTTGCCCAGCTGCCAAAAGGGCAGGTAAGTAACAGGATCTAGACTTTTGGTTAGGGAACAAAAAGCAGTATCTAATTGCTTCCAGAAATAGATGACGCTATTTAATGGTGACTGAGCCCTAATAGCACAATTACAATGAAACAGCACCCGGTTACTAAAGATGCAGCCACAAAATGAGACATCCCAGGCCACAAATAAGGCTCAAGACCTTTCTCTGAATATTTAGAGCATGAAGATTATGACAAGATGCTAAAATGTTCACTTATTTGTGGGCAAAATTAACTGCCAGACTTTTGTCTGGCCCTCATCATAATAAGATATTGGGGGTTTCCTTCTAAATAGCCATATCTAAATACATGCCCAAGCTCCAGATGCTTTAATTAACTTGAATTTCAACCCAAAAGAAACTCAGGGAACACTGTCAGTTCTGGAGCACCAACTGTGTTTTATGCTCTCACCCTAGGGCCTAACACTCCCACCAGGGAATCACAATCAACCTAAAACCATTTCTAGAGCCCTACGAAAGCACTGGAAAAAGGCCGCACCCTAGGACCCAACAGCCTTCCAGTCTAAGAGTATTAATCATATTACACAGCAGTCCAGCATTCAAATTAATTCAAGCAACTTCTCCCTGTACGTTAGCACATGACTTCCAGCACTTCCTTCACGGACAAGTAGAAACAAGGCACTTACGGAGTAGCTACATGTCTCAAGGACGACAACACGGTTGGCAAAGGTCTCATTGTGGGCTTCAATGTGGAGAGTTCGCTCTTTCCAGTTCACTGTGTTTTTCTGGATGAAGAAAACATACTCTACCCCTGCAATCTGAGAAGGACAAAGAACCAAAAGGAGGGGCAAAAAAAGAGAGAGAAAGAGTAACTTTAGGAGCCTTTATCTATCCAAGCCAGCCAACGAATCCAGGACACTCTGCCCCTAGGTTCCACTTGCCTTCTTCAGCAGCCTAGGAGCATCCACGTTCAGTTTGCAGCTCCGTTCAATGATATGTATAGCTCCGTCATCACTCCTGGATTCACGCAGGATTTCACTCCCCAAGAAGACTGGGATTTCTGGACATGTGGGAAAGCGCTTTTCGTATGCCTGAAAGTGAAAACAAAACAAGTTTCAGTTTCTGACTGATCAACTTTAACTCTTTCTGAATTATTTCCCTTCCAGCAAGAGTCCAACAAAATGGACACCCTTCACCTCTGAGAAAAGGGGGAGGCAACACAGGGGTTGAAGTTAAAGCAAAGTAGTTATGAACAGAGCCGGCAACCGCTCATGTCAGCCATCAAGCTAAGCACGTCTTAACACAACTTTTCTTTCACACATGAAGTAGAGACAAAAGCCTGTTGTTAAGAGTGTACTGGGAAGGGACTCATAACAACGTGAACATCAGGAACCCAATCTTTAGCTAGCAAAAGCAAGCATGGCTCTGCTGATTTCTGCTAAAGACCCAGATAGTAAAGTTCAAGTCAGACCTATGCCTGTATGAAGGAGCTATTTACAAATACTGAATACTCCTGTGCCTTAAAAACGTGACGTGTTAAACAGTTCTAGTTGTCCCAGACTATCAAGGGTAAGGCCACCAATTATTGGCTACTCACTTGGCCTCGATTTATCCATTTCTAAAACAATTCTGTCCTGGTTCTGAAATCTTCCTTGTTTTAATTAACCCACATCCCTCTGAAAAGCTTTTTATCCAAAGCTGCTTTATCAGCTCTAGCAAAAATCCAGCTTTGCACGGCTCTTGCAGCAAACAGACCATCTCTCATTATATTGCAAGATCTTTGCAGGACGGAATGTTTTCCCTGGATTTCTGAAATATGCCTTGCATGTTGGGATGCTACTGTAAATATGTAATTGAAGCAACACTAGCACAAGCTGCACAAGAAGCCCAGGATTCCACTACAGCTGCAGGAGGAGGAAAACCCGTGCTCTTCCCACCGCGCTCTCGGAGAGCCACACCATTTTGGTCATAAGACTTTTTTTTGTTATCATTCTGCAGACGAGCCTAACCTCTATGAACTGCTGCCATCTTCCCATCTTCCGTGAGACCCAATCCTTTTATACAGCACATAATTCTCTCGCAAGCTTTCATATTTCTATCTACCACAGAAGAAAATATTAATGTGATAATGACAGAGCTCAGCTCAGTTGTCAGCACACGCTCGGTGCCATGGGCATGCTGAGGGGTGGCTGCATTCTCCACTACCGCAGCAGTTCAAAGGCTGGTTGCCCCTGCACATATTCGTGTAGCCTGGTGCTGTGAATAATACCTGCTCTTAAAATAGCTCAGGCACTTAAGGATACATTCCATACCTCCTGCTCCTAGACCTCCGAACAGACCAGAAGTTGTTTCAGATTATCGTGTTGCTCTGGTATCAGGAGGAAAGCACAAGCAGACTCCCAGCTGCAGTTCTGGCCACGAACAAAGCGCACGGGTCTTTAAATCATCCTCTCCAAGTCACTGCGTAACATTCTGCTTGCTTCGTCACGTTTCTTGGAGAACCTTCCCCGTATCTGTGAGGCCTCTGCCTGTGCTTTTCTCTCCTGATCACAGCTAAAGCGTTTTAGATAAAGTTTCCCAGGGCAGGTGACTGTTTCCAACACCAATCCACCTGGCTCCGTACAACATAAGCATGCTTCGTTGCTTTAAGAAGCTTAATTTGTTGTGACAGAAGTTCACGGAGGGCTGCCAGGCACTGCCGCGGGGCATTTCCAGCTATCTGCTCCTGGTATACCGCACTTTCCCCAGGGGTCGCAGAGCATACGGGGCGCATCCCATCTTCCCCGCTCTCCGATACCTGCGGTTGTCAGCACGTTGATCTTCTCAGGCAACGTTAATACTTCCTACTTGTACCTGCCCTCTCCCAATCCCCCAGACTCCAAACCACCATCTAGTGCTATCTTGGGGTCAAAACCTTTACCCTCTTCTCCCTCGCTAATCTTTTCTATTCTAGCACACACAAGCAAGAGTCTCTCCAGGCCACCCATTCTTAGTTACTGGTCTCAGCAAAAGCTGTCAACACCTTTGTAAGGCCACTGGAACACCAGAACATTTAGCAATTATTTTTCAGCTGTTTGTCCCACACCACTCCTTACACTCACAGAAGGTGTAACTGAAAACCCTACCCTAAAAGAAGGCTGCCTCAGTTAATCCCATGACTTTGGAAAACAGCAGCTAGCGCAGAGGCTGGACAGCACCTTGAGTGCCAGAAGACCACGTGAGAATAGTGCTAGGATTGTCCATAGGCTTGGCAGCAAATCACAAGGCTGCCTAAATGCCCCTAAAATCCCACACCTTCCTGCAAGGAGTGCCAGGCCCTCCTCGCCCTCGCCCATGCCGCACCATACCCCTTGCTGCCGGAACTCAGGCACGCTCCCCGCCGCCTCGGCTCGCAGCTCCAGGCAAGCAGGTAACAGCACACGCTCCAGGGCTCCATGTTCGGCGAGCAAGGACTAACCGTGGGAAGCTAAGGCTGAACCAACACCACCTATTTCGCTGGGTCAGGATTAGGGCCGGCCAAGGATATCTTGCCCCAGGTACTCATGATTCCCACAAATTTAAGAGGTGCAAAGTGGCTGTGCCATGAACATTCTGAGGGAGTTTTCAGAGAAACAAAAGCCATTCTACCAGGACAGCAAACGATCAAATCACAGATACCCTCCAAAGGCCTCGCTTCAACAGCTTCACCAGGAGTACTGTGCTCCAGGTGCCTCCTTGCCTCCAAGTCTGGAGCACCACCACCACCACTGAACCCAGGTACCTCTGGCTCTAATTTGAAGATCAAGCCACTGCATCTCCACACACAGCTGGGTTTTTTTCTCCTCTAACTATGCACACCTGAGCCAGCTGGAGACAGGCTTTGTAATAAACTGTCATTAGATCTAGTAAAACCAAGACCAGGACAACTACTACAGGAGTGCAGTCACTGTTTTGGAGAGCTAAACAACATCTGGAGAGCGAAGAAAGGTCAGGGCAGAGGCACATGTCTATGCACAGCCCTGGTGATATAACTAAGATCACTGGCCCAACCCTAAATAGGTGGAACATTTCCATAACTGAGAAAGAATCCCTTTCGCACGTTGATATTAAGTCCTTTGCTAATCTTCTTTGCACAACAACTCTAAAAATACAGCAGCTGAGGATGCCTGAGATCACATGAAAGACAGCTGAAGCACCACACCGCCGTCGCAGTAGCGTTTTACTGTTAACATGCCTGATCTTTTGCCACTGAAGAGACTGAGCTATCAGGACAGCAATCCATCTTCTGCACCCAACATCCTCTCATCAAAGTCAGTATCTCTACACAACAGTACCTGTTTGCTCCAACAGAGAAACTGCGGGAAATCAAAGACAGAGAAATATTTTATTTTTTTTTCCAAGCCATTGCCAGAACTAGCTGTTATTGTCTCTTCCTCTGTGATTCTGCAGAGTGCAAGGCGAACAACAGAATATCCCGGGAAATGAAAGGCACAGAGTACTTAACATTACCTTGTTTTAATACTTTGGCTGCTCATCTGCCTTCACACGCCCTTTCAGCTCCTTGCTGCAGTAACTCTGGGCTGACCAGCACATAGGAACAGCGACCCGTCTCCCCTTCTCTGCCCCTCCTTCCCCAGGAGTAACAGCAGCATGGGGCCACTACCTTCTCTTAAGTGCATACCCACAACATTGCTTTAAGACAACCACCTTGATGACCGAAGTCTTGAACAGGATCAAATACATACTTTTATATATATACATAAAGCACAAATGGCTCCATGAAGCTACTCCCTCCCTTCTTCTAAACCTCATTGGGATTAACATTGACAGGCAGAACCAGCTAACACTTTGCGCCCCTCCTGCAAATCCTCCAGCCCGAGCAAGTCGACACGTCACGCCGAATCCCGGCTTGGGCTCCTTTTCTAGCACGATCAGTCTCTAGCATTGACTTCACACCAGATGGGACCAAATAAAACCCCCGAGCAGTTGCAGCAGGAGCTGTCTAGTCAAGCCAGAGGACTGCATACACCTGATTTACCAAGCAAACCATCTCAACAACCCAGTTCACATTAGTTATTTTCTGAAAGGTTCAGATTAACATGCTCTCTTTGTACCCAGAAGAGCTGGTTGCTCAGCCCCACCAGTGTCCTTCCCTAAATCAAGCTGGTTTTTTCCTGGATTTCTTGCAAAAGAAATGTTGCAAAAAACAGTGCATTGATGATTTTTTTTTTTGTAGTGGACTGCATACATGATGTGACCAACATAAAAGTGCCATTTAAATCTTTGCAGTTATCTCCCACAGACTGAAATTACGCATTAAATTTCACAAGAGACCCAGGTAAAGACAGAGGGATTTGGAATCTGTTTGAACTCTCAGGGATATTTTTTCCTTGGAAATATAACCAATTGCTTTTGGGTGCATCTAAAGGGTAAAAATAACATCATTTAGATAGCGATGACAGCCTGTTGGAATTCTAAAAAATTTCAAAAAGTAGAAAATAAATGAAAAAATTTACAAGTGAAACAATTTCTAGCTAAAAAAAAAATTTAAAACCTGCAGGGAAGTTGTAACAGGTACTCAAGGTTTCCGTAGCGCCAGATCTTCCTTTCACGCTGAAGGGAAGAGGAGGGAGATTTGTGCAAGGCTGCAGCGTGTGCTTGTGTGAACGTGCCACTGGCACGACCTGCCCCGCTGTCCCGAAGCGCCTCGGCAAACGTGCTGCGGCAACGTACGTGGCCAAGCAGCGGCAGGGGACCCCCACGGCATGGGGTGCTGGAGAGGGGGGCTCCCCAGCCGTGCCGCCTAAACCCAGCTGGGCTGCAGCACGGACGAGGCCATTTCAAACCGCTTACACAGTGACCTCTGCATCCCAGCCCAAGACCCCTTGGTGCCGCAGGAGCTGACAAATGATTAATCACACCAAGCAACGATTAATCAAGTGTTACAGTTGATTATGAAATTGTAAAAAGTGCTTTGACCAAGGTTTTGTGCTGCGAGCTCCCGGGAGATGCATCTGCGTGGTTTTACCTGTGCTGGCCAAACAGTTTATGGGACCAGCACCGTGACAGACAAAAATACCTTGTGAGAAGAGAGTCTTTGAGGACAACGCAA